TCCATCCATCCATCCATCCATCCATCCATCCATCCATCCATCCATCCATCCATCCATCCATCCATCCATCCATCCATCCGTTTTTATTAGATGATGATGATCCAAAGACTTGTGCTCTGGGATCGTTTAGTCAGGTCTGACCGATGCCGTCGTCAGTTCACACAAACATTGCTTCCACAGTTGCTAGAGAAAAGGGACATGTTAGAGGCTGGCAGGGCCGCGGAGCCGCGCGTCTAGACGAGGGGGTGAGACTGGCAACCCTTTCAGAGATGGGCAACGACGCCAGAAGAGAAAGGACGAGAGTCTGAAGTGTGTGACCTCAAGGCGGGCTCGGTGTTGTCGCTCCGGGACGCTCGTATGGAAGAGTTATTTCATGTTTGAAATGTGGGAGATGGTGGCGTTAACGAGAGCGAGCTCTCCCTTCCTGTCGTCTAGGACAAGATGGCAGCAATGCAGGCGAACTGTGTGTGGTATGGATTTATAAGTCCATAACATGCTCAGAGAAGCCTTGGATTTGACTTAAAGCGACTCTATGTGAAGGTAAGAGTTAGACTAAGGGCTGGCGATGGTTGTTTCTGTTGAGCTAAACCTACGAAACGACACTTTGAATGTGACGTATTACTGAGTCATAACTTAGCTATAAACTTAGCTAGCGAGCGCTTGCCTGGCTGAACTGTGTTTTCATTTGGGACCAGCTCAGTCACCAGTTTGGCTTTTCAGTTTACATGAGGATTATTAATTTTCTTTACTAGCAAACGGCGTTGACAAAGACGTTAATGGGGATTTTTTTATGGTCACGAGAACATTAAAACACAAGTGCTACCACGACAGCTACTTTTTTCATGTTTTTTTGGGGGGACCCCTCTCCCCCACCATTAGTTAGTTTTTATTAATTACACGTAATTTATTTTGTTGACTGTTAGCCTATCCTAGTCGGACAATATGGATCGAGTGGTAAGTTTTACATGACTTCAGTCATCACCTTGCCCAGTTATGAGACATTTTACACACTTTGTGCTGAGTCTTGAGTACAGAATTGTATCCATAGATGATTATATCCTTAATACAGTCATTATTTTAATCTTATTTCCAAAGAAGCTGCACCATTTTTCTCGTTTTAGTTTTTGTAATAACCTCAGCCACAATGGCCCAAGTTAGAAAAACACAGCACAGTCATAAGTCCTGAGTTTTAAAAATGTTTCAGAACTTGCCCAAGAAGTCTGGTAACCTTTCGGGTTATTAAAACTTACAACACACAAGTAAAACAAAAATATTATTTGAGCTTTTAGCTGGGATTTTATTAAAGCTCTTTGTGGTTGAAAATGAACTGTAGTCACAACACTGAAAATCCCTTACTGTTTGCTTTTGTTAACAATTTAGTTGCGTTCTTCCTCAACTTGTAAGGCTACAAAAACAACAACTAAAAATCCTGACCATTTTATACCRCCTAGTATTTCAAGAAACAACAAAATACGAGTTGAAACTAGCGTATACCAAGTTAATCAAACTAAGATTAGCTAAATGATAATCTGCTTGACCTTTGTCACAGTAAATGTGATGACTTTGTATTAAATGGGTTAAAYTTAGTTTGAAGTTTTAAAGCACAAATCACTTAAAATTATAATTGTAGGAATGATTGCCTTCATTTGCAACAATTTATTTTGAGATTAACAATAAGATTGYTGTGCTTCTGGTCATCTTAAACCAAAGCAGGCAAAAGTCAGAGGAATTTACTCAGACTGTACTTTCCCATCTTGTATTTGTTTGTGTTCTTTTCTCTTCTTTTTCTATTGCATGGAACCTCTCAGTCATCTGTGTACCGCTGTGGCAAACTTAAGACTCATTCAAGTGACGTCATGTTGTGGTCATGTGTGTAGACGTCAGGCAATAAACAAAACATAATGTGAGTTTTTGGGAAACCACAGAGACAGGGTGGTGKTGTGCTGTAGCTGAGATCACAGAAATGATAGGGGTGGAAAATGTCTTTTATCTCAAGACATATACACCTATTACAGTTCACAAATCATAATTACTCATATTTATCTAGTGTTCTGTTCATATCTTGGTTTTGTTTTGAAACTCCCTCAGTATGAGGGATGGTGAGGCCTATTCTGTATTATCTTYTGTGTATTTTAGTTTTACTTGAAACTAAGGCTGTGTTGTATCATATAATAGCAATATAACTTTCACTCTGGCTTGCACAGCAACACAACTAGAGTGAGGGACATAGCAACGTGTTAGCCTCTGTGACAATTTAGTGCCTAAAAACAAAAGGTGGTTCTTTTTAATAAAGCAATTTTTCTACAAGATAATAGACTTTCATTCAACAAAGTGCAACACTAAAATGCCTAAAAAAGCAGTTATTGGTAAAGCTGGTAAAAAACAGCCAACTCACTTCACAATTTCACAAAAACAAACACCACGGAAACGGCTCCACAGAGTACACCCAGGTAATAAAGGCACACGAGGAGACAACACAAGAACCTGGTTATGTGCCRTCCAAAGATAACCAAATGACTCAACAAATCATGTAAAAACATGTCCTAGAATATCGTAGTACTTGGTTGCTGTTAAAGAGCTTTTGCAGCAGAGTCACACTTATCATTATGCACAGTAAAACTAAAATATGCTAAATACTCTCTTTGTTTACAGTAATAAATGCTGCCATCTGCAAGCTCCAGTCATAGGACAATTAATGAAAAAATTAAGAATATAATAATAAATATCATCATTGCAAACAAATGTTACTGAGAAATTTTGCTAAAAGTTTTTGATTATAAACCACCTCTAATTAAGACTTACTGTCATGACATTTTATGATCTAAAAGTATGTAATGCATTCTACATGTTGTGAAACTGTCTGGTGCTTTTTGTATTTTTAGACAATAAGTATTATAGTATTTTTTTCCAGTATACAGTAGTCATAAAACTTTTACATGCAGTGTTAAATTCAAGATGTGATGTAAAAAAAATGAGACCACAGTAAATAATTTCAAAACTTTTTATCTTTACTGTAAGCTGTAACCTGTACAACTGAATTGAAAAAACAAAAAAGCTACAGGAATTTCTTGCAAGTACTAGCYGTGTAGTGCATGTCACAACAATCTCCTGTATTCTTCATGTGTCTGCGCTATGGAGTAGGGTTGCATGATGGAAGCTTTATCTTAYGAAAAACATCAAAGCCCTGCTAAATTTAACACATTCTCCGAAAGATGTGGGAAAATATGTCATGGTCTGATGAACTTATTGGCCATAATTCCATATGGTACGTCTGGATGTCTGTATGTCTCAACACTGCATATCACCAGAAGACCACCATACAACAGTAAATCATGGTGGTGGCAGCAACATGTTTTAGGGCTGCTTTTCTTCAGCTGGGACTGGGGCCTTAGTCATGGTGGAAGGAATTGTGAACTGTTTCAAATACCAGTCAGTCTTGGCACAAAACCTTCAGGCTTCTACTGTAAGGCTGAAGAAGAAGAAAAACTTTGTCTTTCAGGACGACCATGACCCAAAGCATACATCCAAATCAACAAAACAATGGCTTCACAAGAAGATTTAAGGTTTTGGAATGGTCCTGCCAGAGTCCAGACCTGAATCCCATGGAAAATCTCTGTGATGATCTGAGAAGGGTTGTGCACAAGCGATGTCCTCACAATCAGACAGCTTTGGAGCATTTTTGCAAAAAAAAAGAGTGGGTAAATATTGACAAATCAAGATGTGCCATGCTGGTAGCCTCCTGCCCAAAAAGACTGTACTCACTGCTCAGCACACTGTTTTTGGGCACAGTGTGCTTTAATATGGTCAAAAGKTGCTTCAGCAAGTACTAGATTAAGGGTGTACACAGTTATTCAACCACTTTATCTTATTTTTTTTATATATTTACACCCCACCCCCCAATTTTTTAAAAATTATTTTTCAGTTAAGTTTTACAAATTGTAGCTCACATAAAAGGTGAAAAAAAGTTGTGAAAAATTTTATCTTGGTCTCCATTTTTTTTACATCAAAAACCTATAACACAGGTGTGTAAACTTTTTATATTACTGTATTTACCCCCTTGTTATTTGGTATGAAATAAATTGTTTTGTACATTTTTGAMTGCTTTTATTTATATATAAGGCTGGAAACTGATTTACTGAAAAAAAATATAAAAAGAAAATAACTAATAAAAGCCAAAATTGTGGCACATACTAAGCCTCAAACAGTTTTATAATCAAACCACTTTAACTTTGATATTTTATTTTATTGTGTATTTGACTGATATTGTGAGAAGTATTGCCTGTGAGCAGTAGCTAATGACATAAGTAGAAAACTTTACAGAGAAAGTTAAAAAATTCCACAAATAACTTGAGGTCACATGCTTTCGAAAATAGAAGACCTTTTATTTAATAAGCATAAAAATCTAGTTCACGAGGCACAAGGAAAATACCACAGTGTGGCGTCAGGTTGTATAGTTGTGATCTAAGATAGCAACCTTCATGTATTACCAAAATCATAAGAACAGCATTGAAGTGAATTAGAARAAAAGCAAATGTTTAATTTCCGCCATCACAGTTGTCATTTGCCTTATTTATCTGAACTGAGCTGCAGCCAGAACTACCTCATTACAAGACAAGTTTAATTTTAGTGTAAAATGCAGTACCTAATAGAATGCACATGAATGCATGACGAGGAAGCTTCTCACAGACTGCTTTCCTGATCATCTGATTWAAGTGTGAATGCCTAATGGGGCTGTTTTAATGTGCTGTAGGATGGGAGACATTTATAGCTCAAAAATTTGAAGCCTAAGCTGTGGTTATCATAGCAGCTCACTTTTACTTTGAGCTGTGAAATGAAGCAACATGAACAGAAATGGTGTTGAAAGTAAAATAGTTAGTAAAATGTTAATTTTAGACTTAAGTCCATTAAAAAATCTTTTGTTTCCTTAATAATCTGCATTAAATCTAAGAAGTCAACTTTTAGAGAGCATGTGGGTTTTCAGTTCATTTCATCCAGCATGACAAACCTGACCTACTTCCTAAAAGTACAGTTTTGCTGGAAAACCTCTAGAATGAATGATGTGAAACCATGCCTTAGGAAGAACCTCGTGGCTGGTCTAGCTTTTAACTCAAAAATAGCTGCAAATGCTTTTATTTCCTCTTTAAATCAATAAAAGACATTTACTTTACATCCTCATGTCTGACTTGACTACTGTCCTTATTTATCTTTATTCGTTACTCTTTCGCATTACATCAACCCTGTAGCAGACCCATACATTGAGCTAAGAGCTAAATGTAGTATATTTATAACATTACAAAATGATCTAATAAGCAAAAACAAAAAAAATAAATATTTTTTTAAACTTGTGTAAGGCTTGTAAAGTTATGTCACTTATTAGATTGCCTATTATACTTTATAAAACTTTGACAAAAAGCTTGCTATCATGCATGCAGTTATTGTATCTTAGAATCTGTTTGACTAGCATGTGCATTTGTGTTCACTTACACTTAGATGCATTCGCTGTTTCACCAAACAAAACTACCCCCCCATCTGATGATTTAGTTTCAAAATGTTTTAGCATTTCCATGAAGTTCTCTTCCATTTGCTTACACACACACTAAAAATTATAGGGCAGGAGAAAAGAATGAACCACGTCTTGAGTAATTAGACACGTGGGCCTGATTATGCTGTTTGACTTTGTTTTACTCTCTTTGTCTCTTATCCTCTCTCCATTGGTTGCCTAGAGACCTGTCGTAGGATGCATAAAAATGACAGGAATAGGTCAGTCAAACCTTTGAGAAGTTAGTCATCTGCTGTGTGGAGGTGTTTGTGGGATTGTAGTTGGTTGGACAGAATGGTAAAGGTGTCCTGATGCACTCCGCTACATACAGTGCTTCTTTGATTCTCTTCACAGTTGTTGAAGCAAGGGAAAGGCATAGTTAGCCCGTGTCTTGGACAAATGTTGCAACCTTGTGAGTTTAGATCGAGAGTCCTTATTYGTTTACCCAGTTTCTTAATGTCTTATTGATGCACAGCTTTGGTATGCTGTCAAATGTTACACAGCTAATCACAGCCAGATACAGCTGCTCTGGAAACTAGCTCAGTTGGAAATGTTACATCTAGGAAACAAAATGTGTTTTTCAATGCATGGTTTACAGAGTACTGCAAAGACTCTTAACCTTGTAAAGAATTTGTTGCCCCCAGACAGAAGATTGTTTAGATTTTTTTCTTGTGAAGTTCTCATTTTTTTTATTAACTTGTATAAATAAAAAGGGAAGGTCACCTGCCACGTATTTGTGACATGTTCATGTGGGAGAAGTTAAAATGGCTTAATGAGATTGGCAGCGTCTAGTTTTTGGACTCTGGTAACTTAAATAAACCCTTTGAACTTAAGTAAACAAAGAGCAGAAAAGGACCCTGGAATAACTGGACTGTTAGTTCTTTTTGACTGATGATGTAACAGCAACACATTTTTTTGTATTGCATAATAAGCTTTACAGTTTTGTTGCCAAATTTCAGTGTGCTTTGTGCTTGTTTATCCCCTTTTTGTGACATCATTTGGTATAGCAAGCAAGTCAAATGGACTATTTATTTTTGCAGCTGTAATAACCTGTTACTTCTGTTTCTCTCTCTGCAGGTATGGCCTCACAAGTCTTGGTCTACCCACCACACATTTATCAAACCCAGACAAGTGCCTTTAGCAGTGTGAAGAAACTCAAAGTTGAGCCTGGCAGTTGTGTGTACCATGAGAAAGCACACCCGCGGACTTATCTGAACAGCAGAACCCTTGGCATTGTGCACCCAACTAAACAAGCCCACTCATTTGTGAACCGAGACTTAGCAGTGGGTCTAAAAGTTTGTGGAGGACAGCAGTACCCGGTGCAGACAGTGGTGGTGCGTGGCGTGCAAAGACAGCAGCCCGGTCGAAGAGGAGGGGGACCAGGCCCGCTTGTGGTCCAGCAGCAACAGGAGGCAAGGGTTGTCCACGTACAGGACAAGGAGCAGCAGCAGCATCCGACAGTTGAAGCAAGTGGGAGCAGCGGTGGAGGAACAGGGGCAGGAGGAGGAGGAAGGGGAGAGGGCTGCAGTGGAGGAGTTGAGGGAGGAGGAGGGGAGGAGGGCGACAGAGAGGAAGACTGTGAAGGTTTGAACTCAGCTGACAGCTCTCAGCGATGTGGGCTGAAACGCAAAAGTGAGGAGCTGGATAACCGAGGAAGCACCATGCAGATTGTGGAGGAACTGTCAATGTTGCCTGCCATGTTGCAAACGACGAATGTGGGGAATGCAGCTGTGACGGCACCGGCGGCTGTCGGAGTTGGAGGAGGCCCCTCTAAACAGGGTGTAGGACATGGTGGTGTAGGTGTCACAGGAGGGACAGGAGGAGGGGACGGAGACTATCAGGTGGTACAGCACGAAGTCCTGTGTTCCATGAAGAATACTTATGAAGTGCTGGATTTCTTGGGGCGGGGCACATTCGGCCAGGTAGTCAAGTGCTGGAAAAGGGGTACGGGTGAGGTGGTGGCCGTAAAGATCCTGAAAAATCACCCATCCTATGCACGACAGGGACAGATTGAAGTTGGGATCCTTGCTCGTTTGAGTGGGGAGAATGCAGATGAGCACAACCTGGTGCGAGCCTTTGAATGCTTCCAGCATCGCAGCCACACCTGTCTAGTATTTGAGATGCTTGAGCAGAACCTGTATGATTTTCTGAAGCAAAATAAGTTCAGTCCTCTCCCCCTGAAAGTGATCAGACCTGTGCTACAGCAAGTAGCCACAGCTCTGAAAAAGTTAAAATGCATGGGTTTAATACACGCAGACCTTAAGCCGGAAAACATCATGCTGGTGGACCCAGTAAGGCAACCCTACAGGGTGAAAGTGATTGACTTTGGCTCAGCCAGTCATGTCTCCAAAGCAGTGTGTTCAACGTACCTCCAGTCTCGTTATTATAGGTGAGTACAAGAAAGAATAAAGACTTCCCATTTTTCCCCCTTTAATTTTCAGGCAAATTTTGCACGTTTTGTGAYTGCCAATGTTTAGATTCAAAATGTTTTTTCTAGCATCATAAGAAAATGTAAAGGATATTGCACAACATCCTGCATATGTAGGAGATACCGGTTTTAGACAAAAAAAGGGTCTGCTTCCTTTGTTCCTGCTGTTTGTAAAAAGAAGCTTTAAATAACCTTAACTAATTACAGCTTGACTCTGTGAACACTTTTTTATTACTTGCAGTCTGAAATTGCAGTAACTCAGGGCGTTTTATTGTTTGCAAAGAAATTAAAGATTTATGCCACTGTTATAGTTGACTTGATGGGCTAGGGTAATACATTGAAATTTTTAAATAGTTTTAACTTTTGTGCAGTGCTCTCTGACCACACTTTGGTGCAGCTAATCAGAAAGAATTACACACACAAGTATGTTGTACTTTGTCCACCTATAACTGATTATTGATCCCTCTGAAATTCTGCAGCTGTCTTGGTGCAGCTTCTCCCAACAGGCAGTCATGTTGCTCCCTACTCTGTCTTGAGCAGTTAGTCATTGTATAGCTGTAAATCTCCAAACTCCAAGGATTTTATGAAACCATGCTCTATTAGCAGCTGTTAGTCTTCCTTCTGTTCATCAAAAATTAATGAAATTCATTTTGCAGCTGGAAAAAAATAGCTACACTGTTTTGTTTTCTACCTTCTGCCCTAACATAAACTTATGCACTAAGATATTTGACTTTTATTTTTTAATGCTCCCCTTTGGAAAACAAACAAAAAACAAAACAAAACAAACAAACAAACAAAAAAATAATTGCCAAATTGCCATCAACAAAGACAAAATGTAAGCCACATATTGTTTGGGTGTGTTAAGAGTTCATTTGAATTCACACATTGGAACTGTTGTACWTGGGAAATATGTTAGCTAACATATAATCAGACTAATTTGATATAACAGTGTTTTTTAAATATTTTAGAAAAAAATGCCATTTTATTTTAAAAGTCAGCTTAGTCCTAAAACCATTGGTCTTTTGTTAAATAGTATCCTTAATAACATGATTGGTACTTCAACCTCTGAGCGTAGGGGAGAGTTCACTGGGATTTAGTGTTAGCTGTCAGTGATCATTATTTACATGACTGTTGAATAATTTTCATTGTCTACATACTAAAGTAGTGAATCAGCGTGATAACGGGGAAATTCAAACTGCTAATGAAAATTAATGTAAAAACCATTTGATATCAGTCCGCATTTGCATCTGCTGTAGATGTTCCCATCTATTTAGAGTAGACTGAACTTTGTTTGAACCCTAGTTTCAAATTATAAGTGGAAAATACTTGTCAGTAACTTTCAGTTATTTCTTTTTCTTTTAATCTCACATTCATCAGGCTTTTTTGTGAAGGCGATTAGCGTTTTAAATGCACTGTATTTCAGGAAGTCGCTCAAAATAGAACTGTCGTACTTTGCTGCGCTTTGGTGGGGGAGGAAGTGAACATTGCAGCTGCTGCAGTTTGTCAGCCCTGACAGCTTTGAGCGTTGGTGACCACAAGTCTTACAAGGTGTTGTATTTTGATACAACATATGCTATTACCTTTGCTAACAAATGACAATTAACCGTTTGTCTGACTGCAGTTTAGAGGCATTTATTGTACATGCCAGAGAAACAGGCTAAAAAAATGTAATTTCAATTTTCTTTGCATGTTTGGCCTTTTACACATTGACTCTTTAGCTGTAACTATAGCTAATTAAATGTTGAAATTTTTTGGAAAATTTGTTGTGTTGTAAATTTATCTACCTTTTTGCAATGAGCTCTTTAACAACTAAGTACTTAATAGCTGTCATAGTTCTGGCCTAAGAAGCGAGCGATAGAAGTTCATAAGTTGATCACCAGTACAACTAGCCATTCTCATCTGCATTCGTTTGGAAAGCAAGTTTAGTCTAATTAGTCAGACTTAGTAAAGTTTACTCTAATCATTAAACTACGGCAATTGTATCACACATATTTTTAAAATGTTCATTTAGATCAACTCAAATTCAAGTTGAGATTCTAAAAGTATAGTTAAAGATTTTAATCTATGGTGGTAACATTGTTTTAGGAAAAGCTTAACTCTTTGTTTGAGAGGTATAAAGAAACATACAATAATAATTTGTTCTAGAAGACAGGTTCAAAGCAAGACTGACAAACTTACTGAAAATCTACCGTATATCAAATGGTATAAAAATGTGGAAACATGACGTTTGCATTTGGCTCATCTTTTTAGATTTTAGCATTGATTTGATTTTTATGTCAAGACAACGTTGCAGTAGTGATGCAACACTTAAAGAAGGACTATTGCACCTCTGTAGCTCATGTGTCTCTTCAGAGACCAGAGTATGCAAAAGCATACTGTGAAGCAACAGCGTTGCTGAGGCCAAAAGTGGAGGGAAGCTTAAAATAGCTCATGGGACAGAGGCCAGAGTGCCTTGACGTCTATAGATGGTGAACCACATGGGCAGCCAAAATATAAAAAAAGGACAGCTTAAAACGTTCGAGACCTCTGACTTACTCACTCAAGGTCAACCAGCTCAACAGTGACATCTGTTTTCATTTTATTTTTAATGCCAGTTTGCACGATGTGGGAGGGGTTTTGTGAAAAACGCACAAGGAAAATTATTCAATAAAAATGTCACCAGCTTTAACTAATAATTTTAACAATTTTTACTCCCCCTTTAAATATGACAAGGAAGTTTAATTGCTCCCATAAAAATCACACAATTTATTTGTTATTGTTTGGCTTGAGCCTAATAAATATTTATGTACCAACCCAAATACAATATGTTTCGCTGTCAGTGTATGGGGTACCGGGCCACTTGATACGGGCTGTCAGGTCCTTGTACGACCGGTGTCAGAGTCTGGTTCGCATTGCCGGCAGTAAGTCGGGCTCGTTTCCGGTGAGAGTTGGACTCCGCCAAGGCTGCCCTTTGTCACCGATTCTGTTCATTACTTTCATGGACAGAATTTCTAGGCGCAGCCGAGGTGTTGAGGGGATCCGTTTTGGTGGCCTTAGGATCGCATCTCTGCTTTTTGCGGATGATGTGGTCCTGTTGGCTTCATCGGAGCGAGATCTGCAGCTCTCGCTGGAGCGGTTCGCGGCCGAGTGCGAAGCGGCTGGGATGAAGCTCAGTGCCTCCAAATACGAGGCCATGGTCTTGAGCCGGAAAAGGGCAGAGTGCCTTCTCCGGGTCAGGGGGGTCGCCCTGTCTCAAGTGGAGGAGTTTAAGTATCTGGGGATCTTGTTCACGAATGGGGGAAGAACGGAGCGGGAGATCGACAGGCGGATTGGCGCAGCGTCTGCTGTAAAGCGGGCACTGTACCGGTTCGTCGTGGTGAAGAGAGAGCTGAGTCAGAAAGCGAAGCTCTCGATTTACCGGTCGATCTACGTTCCTACCCTCATCTATGGTCATGAGCTTTGGGTCATGACCGAAAGAACGAGGTCCCAGATACAAGCGGCCGAAATGGGTTTCCTCCGCAGGGTGGCTGGGCTCTCCCTTAGAGATAGGGTGAGAAGCTCGGTCATCCGGGAGGGACTCAGAGTAGAGCCGCTGCTCCTCCACGTCGAGAGGAGCCAGTTGAGGTGGCTCGGGCATCTGGTAAGGATGCCTCCTGGACGCCTCCCTGGTGAGGTATTCCGGGCACGTCCCACCGGGAGGAGGCCCCGAGGAAGACCCAGGACACGCTGGAGGGACTATGTCTCTCGGCTGGCCTGGGAACGCCTTGGAGTTCCCCCGGAGGAGCTGGAAGAAGTGGCTGGGGAGAGGGAGGTCTGGGCCTCCCTTCTGAAGCTGCTGCCCCCGCGACCCGACCCCGGATAGTCGGAAGAAAATGGATGGATGGATGGATGGATGTCAGTGTTTATTTTGTTGTCAAAATCTAAATCTAAATCAAAACTAACAGGACTGACTGACACAGGGAGAATTAAAATTGATAGTAAATTAGTGTCTTGATTTTTACATGGCCTGTAAAAGCCTTTATTACCGCCCTCTTGTTACTGAAACATTTAGACTAATGCAGCTGGATTAACTTTTCCCTGAAAAGTCTCTGAGAAAGTAATCCCCCAGACTGTCTTCCAAACTATTGTGTGTCGGGCAACTTGTGGCGGTTACACAAACCTTTTCTCTATTATGAGTTGTACACTTAGAGGGAAATTATCAAATGAATTGAGGCTGTGTATGTTATCTGCAACATGATGCTATGAGATGGGACAACTATTTTTTTCTTTGACTGTGTGCTCACATGTTCGCAGTCATTTTTGTTGATGTTTACGTTGTCCTGCTGGTTGGTGTCACAAGTTCATGAGAAACATCTGCCCTGCTTCATAATCTCTACTACAGATTCTGTTGGTAATGCACAAATGCTGATATTGTTTTCATGCAATAATACTGTGTTGCTGCTGCTGCTAGAATAAATAGCTGAAGTTACAGCATTCCATTTGAAAAAAAGAGTTTTGTCAGTTTAACAAAATTGCAAATTAAACATGTTTAGCAAATGTGTGCAAATGTTAGCTCTGTAAAACACTTAAATTGCAAGCTTTTTCTGTAGGATTATTGATGATGCTGAAGGAAGCTAAGGTCAAGAAGCATAATGTGCTGTGAAACTAGTACTTCAGTGTTTCCCTTACCATTATACAGCCCCCACCCCCGTGTGCCAACGAGATGGCCCGCCCCTCTAAGAATTTCACGGCATGTAGTCATATTTATTTAAATAAGGCCAGATCAAGTCGAGAGCTATTTTTTGCGCCCYTCCATATCCACCTCTCGCCAAACTTGGGGGAAAAAGATGGCGCAGAGCGAGGCTGAGCGCTGTATGTGGTCCTCACAAAGATAGGAAGACGTGTGTGAGATTAGACGCGCAACCCTGCTTTTAATCACGAAGCACCGATGCGACAGCTTTGCGAGCTACTTTTTCTTTCTTTAAAAGAAAATGCGACAGGTG